AGGAAAAACTACGCGATTACATTATTTCAAAGAAAAACACACGCCTATAACCATTGTGTTGTATGAAACGATATAGAGAAGAGGAAAATTGAGAAATTATTCAGGGCGTTGCTTTTTGATTTTTATGAGAAAATGAAACAAAGAAAATAACGCCAATTAAGTTTACAATCAGAAGTTCCAATTGCTTATCCTGTTTGAAAATTTCAAGTAGTTCATACTCCGTCATTTCTATAACAAGATAAAATGAAATTGTAATGTCTCCTGAAAAAATATGAAAGGCCCCCGATCAACAATTATCGAAATCGCTTACTAAACGAATAGCAGACTGCAAAACTAGTTAAGTGTAGAAGAAAACTAAATGTATCCGATTGAATGAACAGCTATCCTGTGACAAACGGCATTTATTCCGCCATTATTCGTCATGCTTTTACAGTGTTCTATCCATAAAATTTTGAAGTTTTCTACAATTACCCATGAGAATTTGTGAGTATATTGGACGGTCAGATCACTCTAGCCACACAAATTCTAGTGGACAGAAAAGGATGAATGATGGTTAGATGATGATTCTACTTGAAATGATAAATTCATTCATGTTAAGAAATCTAGATTTCATGAAAGAAATAAAGAAAAATTGATTAGTCAATGAGAGGGGTGTCACCACTCTTCAAATCAATTGAAAGCACTCTCTTTATGTCTTCTAAGAGCTCTTAAACTCAAAAGACAAAAATACCAAGAAATCCAAAGGAACTCCAATAGGACACCACTAATCTCTAGAGTTCCATAAAGAGACCGAGACAAACGTTGAAATATGCGACCATGAATACTCAAGAACACAGAACAAGTACAGTGAACATCCATCCACAACGTTAAATACAAATTCATATGATCGTATCATGTGTTCAGATGTTGTCGAATTGGACGGTCAAATTATAAAATGTGGAGGCATTATTTCCATTGACGATATGACATACAAAACTCCCGGCAAGCATTTCAATAAAAATCTCAAATCCCTAACTCTGTGATAAAGTGGGGCATCGATTGAAACAGTGATTCCCGTTAGGTTGTAAAGACTTGTTATTTCCTTGTCAAACCTCAAAATGACGAAGATAATTATCAGTCATCTACAAGCTAGTGTCGGAGTAGCGAGCTAGGGGTAAAGACTAGTGAGAATGAGCATAAAAATTAATCTTAGAGGGGAAGAAAACATAATCATCTATCGAATAGTAGTGAAAGGGAAATAATTTTAGGAGACACCAGTTGATATTGTTTCTTAACATTCTGTGGAATCAGTCAGAAAATCAAGATCACGTTTAGACGGTCTTCCTTGCCAGTTTGCCTATTCCATTTACTTACTGTTTGAAGTGGTCATTTTCGTGGCACTAAACAACTGAGTGTGTGTTAATAACAAGTTGTATGGGAACACACTGTATGGATTATATCCAAGACAGCTTTATCGTGAGAAGACTGAGAAGTTGATAACATTGTGATCAATGTGAATCGGCGGTCACCGTTACTTTAAATGAATATGCAATATGTGTTAGATACTTATCGCCGGTCTGTGTGAATTATTGTACTACCTTTTTTAATAATGTAAAGTCGAATGTAAATCAAGTGTCAAGAAAATAAAAACGAATGTATTCTGATTTTTGAGTGGAGTATGTTAAAAATACAGTCAAGTTTACCATAAGTTTTATGATGATTATTATTACAACGTATTTTCATCTGATCTAGTGGTTTAACCCTCGAGTGAGAAGCAATCGAGATCTAAAAATTGTCTAATGACCGTTTATTAGTCTGTGAACAATAACTTTTAATTCAGATGGTTGTCACAGAAATATCATCAAGCTCGATTAATGTGTCGAATTCGGAAGAATTCTACAGTATTTTCTAGTGAATACAATTTCACCCAACATCTTAACCGACATTTTATCATATGAAGTGGTCTCAATGACGTAGTCTTGAACGAGCCTGATATGTGTTAGTTAGCGAAAGTGAAATATGATTGGTCGTTGAGTGTGGGCAAATAACCACAGCCTATGGACTTTTAAATATACGGTTCCCCTTTCTATCATTGATTTCTACTGTGGGCTGGCTGAGCGTGACTGCTTGTAATTGTTTTGAATAAAGTATTCACATGATTCTCCATTTTCAGTCGTGAATCCTAGTTCCAACATAGCAGATTAGTCTTACTGTCGTATTAACGTGTTACAGTAATATGTTTGAGAGAAAATATTTTAAGCATCTGTTATATCGGAGTCAGTGGCATTTTTCTACATATTTATTTACAATGCATTGATCAGTCTGGTTATTCGTACCTATTAATCACACGAGTAGGTCATTACTTTCACCATGACTTCAATATTTACGATTGAGTTATGCGGTTTGTAGTGTCGGATGCTATGCCAAGCCGACATAGCTTATCCTACATTCCGGACAGGAAAATATATTCATTCTTCTTCAGTTACATGTTGAACTTGATAATTGTTCACTTATCAACCCTAACTGTTGTCATATGAGCGTACGTGCGTGCATTTCCTATCTCATCATCACATGTCTGTAACTTATTTTTATCTGACTACAAGTATCGATTAACGATTGATTAAATGGAGTTGGCTTACATGCCTTCTTCACTGCGCGTTATGTCGCTTCGCTTAGTTTCTCCGATCGTTTGTCTGGATCAATGATCATATGAAATACACGAATTCGAAATCCATTCTCGTATATGACTTGTTTAATTCCGTTATTCACTAACGCCATTTCAGTCGATAATTCTATGTGAGGATTGACGATATGTATATTTCAAAAGTAATCATTTACACTATCCACCTGGAGTCAGATATGGGACAATTAAAGTTTTGAACAAAATTTATTGACTTCGATCTGACACCGTTTCGGTCATAATTTTGAAAATTCAATCTACTACAGAACGCATTTAGTGTAACTGTAAAATGGAACCATTTGATTGTAAATTGAAAAATTATTTAACAGTTGATTACTCAATATGACGATAATGACCAGTCATTATGTCTTTGAACTAGTTTTCCTGTAATAGTAGAGTTGTTATACTGAATTATATTGAAAATATAAACTCTTCATAGTGAGAATCCATCTAAATGTCATTTATGTTTGTAGGGCAGAAATCACCTGTAATATTCGGTAACGTTAATCTATATTAATTCAGTGAACAATCCAACCATATTCTCACTATTTCAGTTATACATGATATTCAATTACGGATGTATTTGTTTGAATATCTGTTGTTGTATTTACCACTATTGTTCGTTTCTCTAATTGTGTCTTGTAATATTTCAATTTTCTTAGTTATTTGGAATATGCTTTCAAGTATGATATATATTTAATAAGTAAATATTATCTTCTCATTATCCTTTGAGAAAGATAAAAATTAAGGTAAATTTATTTTGTTTTTCTGTTAGGAGGAAAGGGCGGATGAGCACTGCTGAGGAGTCCCATACTAGGACGAAACGGTCGTCCAGTGCTCCCAGGTTTTCAATGGTGTTCTAAAATCGATCAGTTCATGATCTCGACTTAAAGTTAACAAACTCCACAATCCCATGCCGATTAGGATTGGAATAATTATACTCCATCATGTTTTCAGCACAACATCAGAGTTTTTTCATAAACCACCAAGTATGTGTAAATGAAACAAATTAGCAACAAAAAATATCAAATCCAATCACCATTAAGTTGAAATAGGAACTAAAAGTAGGTTACTTACTTACTTACGCCTGTTACTCCCAATCGAGCATAGGCCGCCGACCAGCATTCTCCAACCCACTCTGTCCTGGGCCTTCTTTTCAAGTTCCATCCAATTCTTGTTCATTTTTCTCATATCTATCTCCATTTCTAGGCCTAATGTATTCCTTGGTCTTCCTCTCCTCCTTCGACCTTGAGGGTTCCATATGAGGGCTTGTCTTGTGACGCAGTTCGGTGCTTTCCTCAATGTGTGTCCTATCCACTTCCAGCGCTTCTTCCTGATTTCTTCCTCCACTGGGATCTGATTTGTTCTCTCCCACAGTAGGTTGTTGCTAATAGTGTCCGGCCAGCGGATCTGAAGTATTTTGCGTAGACAACTGTTAATAAACACCTGTATCTTTTGGATGATGGATTTCGTAGTTTTCCAGGTTTCCGCCCCATACAGTACAACTGTCTTGACATTTGTATTGAAAATTCTGACCTTGGTGTTGATTGACAGTTGTTTTGAGTTCCAGATATTCTTCAGTTATAAATATGCTACTCTTGCTTTGCCAATCCGTGCCTTCACATCTGCATCAGATCCACCGTGTTCATCGATGATACTGCCCAAATATGTAAAAGTTTTTACATCTTCCAAAGCTTCTCCGTCAATTGTGATTGAATCATCCAACTGCATCCTAGGTGTCCACTGTATCCCGTGCTTCCCTTCAGATGTTGATGTCTTCATGATCCAGTCGATCACCAGGAGAAAGAGAAAGGGTGAGAGTAAGCAACCTTGCCTGACACCGGTCTTTACTTCGAACGACTTTGGCAACTGTCCTCCATGAACGATTTTGCAGTTTAATCCATCGTAGGAATTCCGTATGATATTGACTATTTTCTGAGGCACGCCGTAGTGTCGAAGAAGCTTCCATAGGGTTGTTCTGTCCACGCTATCAAATGCTTTTTCGTAGTCGATGAAGTTGATATAGAGTGATGAATTCCATTCAATTGATTGTTCCACAATGATCCGTAGAGTTGCAAAAGTAGGTAGTATCTTCCTTTCAGAAATATGTGGATAATATTAATTAGAGGACAGAATAATATACTAAGGATTCGTTATGTTTAGTAGTGAAATATCAACTAAATTTTTCACAAAGAATGATATGAAATTTGCTTGTGTCTATTTTCAAGTGACACAGAAATTCAACGTAAAAGTAAATATATAGTTATTGTAACATCGATTACATAGACTAATACTCTACAACACAAAAATGTAACATAGTTTATTTTTTCAAAAATATTGTCCCACTATTAGCACCTTCATGAGTCTTCACTCATAGACTTTTGTGAAAATTTGCACAACCAGTTGCCTAGATATTGAAGTGGATTTTCAGGTTGAATAATACCGATTTCTGTTAATCCTAATGTTAATGGGTTTACTATTAAATAAAAAAAGAACAGTGAAAACTATCGTAACATTACATTGTTTATTGCGGTCACAAACGACAAAAACAATAGTAATTTAATCAACAGATGAATTTTCTAACACCTCGTAAAATCTGTTCATATAACAGATCTGATTGAGATTGCAAAATGATCGACGGTTGATTGAACATTTTGAGAGTGTAGTTTAAAAATGTATTCACTTGGGAGACTTTAGCAAGTAATCATTTCAAGATGGAAATATATACTTAATCACAACGTGGCCATTCCCACATTTCACAGACGCTCTATTTACGTAAGACCATGAAATAAAAATTCCACTTGAACATTTCTTTTTTATATTTATGAGTTATATTCACCACAGATTTGCTTCATCATGAGCAACTTTGAAAGCCAAAGAGGGCTAAACATCTGTTTTATTCTAGTGCTCACCAATAACTTTGCTTTTGGTCGAACTAAGGACCTTATGGTGTTACTGATTAGGTTAGAACTTCGGATCTTTGGATCGTCATCATGTGATATATATATTGACTTCAATGAATTCATGATCATTAATTACCAGTAGTGACTAGCCTTGCTCCCTTTAAGTTTGAACTTCACTGACAATAAATTCTTACTAAAGCATCAGTAACTCAACTTGAATTAAATCGTTTGAGAATACGACAGTGTTGATGAGATGTTTTCATCTTTGTCAAGTGGAGAGTTAACTTTCGTACCTCTTTTATTACCTTGCTGTATCATAATATCATTTAGACTATTGAGTGATTTCAGTCAGATGCTTGAATTTTTTGATAACTTTGTCTATGAAATAACATTTATATATCGTACTACACTGTTATAGAAATATGTTTAAGATTGTACAGTTCTAGAAAATGATAACACTGTAAATAAAAATTTTCCGCATCAAAATGATTTTATTTTTCCAAATGACAGAGACTACTTATTTGATGAGGCACTTCGATCTAACAATTTCATCTAAATATGATCTATTCTTAACTAAAATATATCTAGGTTTCAAAAAATTTAGCCAGTTTATAAATTAAGATGCATTTAGATTTGAAGAATTCATGAAATAAAACGTTTATAGACATTTTTAAGTAAACCGGAATAACAAATTCTGGAATATTATCATAATACCAATATGAAACTTTCAACTAACCAAATTTCGAACTAAGAATAACCATCTCAGTTACTTCGTTGATATTTAAAACAAGAAATTCAGTAATTTTGTCTCGAGGATGTAATTTTTTTTATAAATTTGGAATTCAAAGATCCTAAAACTTTAATTCTACTTAGGGATCAGTTGTTTGAAGCGATTTTGAGATCATTCATTTAGCTAAGCCTTGACTACCTTATTTAATACGCAAACTAATTTCCATTTGTTTGAAAGCTAAACTTTCTGATCTGTTTACCTCTACTTTCATCGACCAGTCTACTTTTTTTCCTCCAACTTAATTGACCCTAATTGTCCAACTTAACTACGTAAAAGTCGTTTACAATACCAGATCAAAAATATCATAGATTATTTGTTCCCCACTCTTTGATAAAGCAGAAGCTTAAGGTATTCATGGCCTGAAGCCTGAAAAATGAATATTTATTTAAATTATGATGCATACTTCGTCACATAATTGTTATTATTATTTTCATTTCATTTACTTAGTCACAGATAGATATACATATTGCTATGATCCAAGAGACTAAAATAATTTATTCGTTTCACTTCCATGAATTTTGATGTAAGAATATAAAACATGGAGATATTTCTCATGGCGACACTACAATTTATGAACGAACCAATCGGATTTAAGACAGCACGATCTTGGATTTGCATGTGAACTCCATTTACTCATTTGGCTAAGTACCATTTTGGTATTATAGTCTATGTCAGTTCGTTTGCAAACATTAAATCTAATTCCTAACCGTAACGTTCAACTGTAGATCCTAATTCTAATTCGTTGCACTAATGTAAAACACTTATTTGATGCTAGAGGGTTGGTGGACATTCCCAGGTCACTTTGGCGTTGCTAAAACATCATCCATAAATTAGCCTCCCCTTTCTCATTTATAATATCCTCAAACTAATTTCTTTCTCTTTAATTATTTACACTTATATCACTTAATGATATGTTGAAATATTCGTGTATGTTAAGAAAATAAAAACCAAACTTTGGTCGCCCGTTATTTTGACGCCAATTAGATCGAACGATGCTGTCGATTGGTTCACCACTTTAGTGGTCCCATATCTGACTCCAGGTGGATGGTGTAAATGATTACTTTTGAAATATACATATCGTCAATCCTCACATAGAATTATCGACTGAAATGGCGTTAGTGAATAACGGAATTAAACAAGTCATATACGAGAATGGATTTCGAATTCGTGTATTTCATATGATCATTGATCCAGACAAACGATCGGAGAAACTAAGCGAAGCGACATAACGCGCAGTGAAGAAGGCATGTAAGCCAACTCCATTTAATCAATCGTTAATCGATACTTGTAGTCAGATAAAAATAAGTTACAGACATGTGATGATGAGATAGGAAATGCACGCACGTACGCTCATATGACAACAGTTAGGGTTGATAAGTGAACAATTATCAAGTTCAACATGTAACTGAAGAAGAATGAATATATTTGCCTGTCCGGAATGTAGGATAAGCTATGTCGGGTTGACGTAGCAACCGAACTCACGAAACATTATGTACAGTAATTTTATGAAGTTTTATCTTTTTCCTGTTAAGAATTTCCAACAATATTTCAGAGCATTACAATTTTTTTTATAATTTTGTTGATTAAGCAATTAAAATAAGATAAAATAGTTTGTCTTACCGATATTTTGAAATATTACCGATTTAGAAGATGTAAAAGATTTCATTAAATCTACTTGTTCATCTTCATTCATTAGTTTGTTTGTATATTTCAAATCTAAAATTTTAAATGAAGTCAGGAATTTTGTTGATGATATAAAAACACTATAAACATTTTGATGGAGTTTTGTTCTCTGAACTGGATGGTTTGATTGTGGAGCATTCATCGTTCTTCTGAACGACACCATCAGCACAAACTTCAGGTAGAAGTGCTGATGATGTCATCCCGAACAACGATGAAAGCTCCACGATCAAACCATCCAGCTCAGAGAACACAATTCCATCAAAATCATACACTTGACCTACAAATCTTCACCATCTCACAGCATAAACATTTTATTTGAGATTGTATTTAGCTTGAAAAGTGATTAATCTAATCTAGTTTTGACGTGTTATGACTGATGGTGTACTGTTATGACTGCGTCACCAATTTATGGATATTGAATTATTTTATCAGTCCTTTATTTCATAGTGAATAGTAAATCTAATTTCACTGTGTTATTTAACATTATTCAATGAACATCTCATTGATAGTGGTGTGAACAGAGAGACAAGAAGCCTTGACAAACTATGGAAGCTATTTTTCAGGACATTATTTCGTTTAATTCAAAGCTTGTAAAACAGTAACGTTTATTTTCGTCTCTTATCTATTCTACAGATTATAAGCTTTCGTTTGATGTATGACTCAGTGTCATAGCCCTTTTTCTTCCAAAGCTATTGTAATTTAAACGTATTATTTTGTACTCTATTTTCTGCGCTAATCTCCAGTTTTTGACATAATTGTATTTCCTAAGCAGCTTCCAGATGAAGAGGAATTCAGGAAAAGACGATGGAAATGGTTAGGACATACATTACGCAAATCATCAAACTGCATCACGAAGCAAGCCCTAACTTGGAATCCTGAAGGAAAGCGGAAAAGATGAAGCCAAAGAACATATTACGTTGGGAAATAGAATCAGATATGAAAAGGATGAATAACAAGTGGAGAGAGCTGGAAAGGATTGCCCAGGACAGGGTTAGATGGAGAATGCTGGTGAGCGGCCTATGCTCCTTCACGAGGAGTAACAAGACTAAGTAAGTTAGTAATTATTGTACGCTGTGGTCAGGTTAGTCATCTTTTCACACTAATCTGAAATCGGAAACCAGATCGGAATTAACAATAAATCGTGTAGTGTTCCAGTCAACTTGTCTTCTCTCACTAGCGTGTTTGTCAGCCAATCAAGTGATAGAATAGTTTTCATCTCTACCCCACTTCGAACTCACGCCTCAAGGTCAAGCCGGTCAGCCTATCGCGTCAAGGTCTTAGTCTAGATTAGACAAGTATCCTCTGCACAAGAGTGGGTAGACAGATGAAGGACGTAACAGATGGTTAAAAATTCTCTGATTTGACAAATGACAAAATAGTTTCTAGAATGTCTCAGATATGTTTTGATGGTAGGAACTGTACCGAATGTTTCAATAGTAAAACTCCTACAGAAATCATATGAATTTATTGAATTATAACGGTTTTCGACTAGATCAGTAAACTTGGAACAAACCATTAAGACTAGTTCACGGAAAGTAAAGTTTACTTTTAGCCATATTTATCGACAAAATAAGTCTTTGGAAAAGTCTATATTCATATAAAATGGCCACGGAAACAAAAAAAATCGTGAAAAACAAACGATACAATAACCAAAGGACGATTTACTGTTTCGTTCTATTGATTTAGATTTTGGTAAATTTTCTTCGGATTGCAAATAATCCATTTCTTTAGACTGTAATTCACGTTCATTTTGATTATTGTTAAAACAAAGTTGAGTGGAGACATTATTTTGAATAAGTGTAGTTTCAGGTATTTTAAGATTTGTTTCTTCAGTTTTGTCAATATTTTGGATTTCTTCTATATCTGTTTCATCTTCAGAAGGCGTAGTCAAACTCGATTCATTTCCATTATCATAACCACAAACGTCTGAATCGAAAGAGTTTAGTTCATCTATTTGTCTGCAATGATTGTCAACATCTTCTTTTAATAATTTTCGGAAATTTAACTCTTCTCCACTTGTTGTATCAGTCATGGTAAAGTTTTCTTTACGGTTTTTAACAAAATAAGTGGTCATTTTTCCTTTACCCTGTGTAATGTTATTAAAAAAATGCATAAACTCAATAAAGCTTTCATTGAAAGTTGACAGCATTGAATGAAAACTGATCAATGTAGCTAGAAAGATAAATAGAAATAATAATACTAGAAATACCAATGATAAACTAATCTTAATTCATTCTATTTATGTTTAACAGGTTGTGATAGTGAATTGAGTCCAAGTAAATGAATTATCTATATTAAGGAGAGAAAGAACGAAGATTGGTGCACAATAATATGAATTCATTTTATTTCATCAGGTTCTCATCAGCTACTTACAACCTATAATGTTTAGAATCAACGTTATCACAGATATTGACATATTTATAGATACGGAGGTGATTAGCGATGGATATTTGTATGATGATGTAGCAAAGATTCGATTAGAGCTAATAAAGTCATCAAAATTTTGTTTAGAATATTACTAACTATTAATGATTTTTAGGTTTACATTTGTGTTATGTGATTTCATTGTGTTTTTATTAAATGTATATCTTCAGATACACCTCCAAGTAAAGGGAATTTATATTATGTTGTTTGATGCTCAGTGTATACTAAGCTTTATTTGTTCAATTGTGTAGTGTATATTCTAAACAAATAGTTATCAAATTGATGTTATGATTTTCGTTGGTTGATAACAGTCATCAAGGAAATGTAAACTAATGTTTTTTTTTGATTAGCAACACTGATTAGTGCAATATAATAGTTCAGAGATAGGTTCATTTACTAAAAAGTTGATTCATAACGATTCAATCATATAAGAGGACAAGATGTTCATTGTCACTGCAAATTTACCTCAATAATAGTTATCAGAATGAATGATTCCTAGTTTAGTGGTATTTCACTTGACCACCTTTTAATAGTTAAATATAAATGTATCTAGTTCAGAACTTTTAGAATAACAATCGAGTTTTATTTTATTTTATTTACATTATCGTAGAGGAGATCATACACCAATGTACTATAGAGTAAACTGAATTTTAAAATGTTAAATAATTTCAATCCATTTAGTGATTGTAATCATTAGTTAAAATTACAATAAAGCCTCTTTCTAAATCATATGGAATTATATTGACAATTTATTATTTAAAATTTATTATTTTATTTAAAAACCTGAACATTTTTCTATATACTCACCTTGATTGTTTGTTCACCTCTATATTCCAGAATATAAGGATATTTAAAAAGGTTCTTCGCCAAGTCCGAACTAATATGAACTGTATCTGGCTAATAAATAAATAAATTAATAAGGAGAGCTAGTTATCTAAAGTAAATCCTTTAAATACAAGATTTTCATTTTTTAAAAATATTGTTTCTGTGATTATCAAATTTTAATTATTTAAAACAAAAAAATTTAAAGATATATAAAGTTAAAAAATCAGATAAAACTTTAATCAATACTTGTAGAAATAAGAGAGGGGTTTTGTGGGGAAGCCGTGATCAATGGAGTTCAATCGAGTCTGTTGTGAGATAAGTAACTCACTTAAGACTATGGTGAATGGTAGCTCAATTTCATGGATTGATTGAAGTTAGACATTAACACCGTTGGATGCCGACCGGCTCAGTGGTCAAAAGGTTAGGCGTTTGCGCGCGAGACTTATAGGCCCTGAGTTCGAATCTCAAGGGACGAGATCGTGGGTGCGCATTGATGAGGAGTCCCACATTATGATGAAACGGCCATCCAATGCTTCCAAATTTTCCATGGTGATCTAGCTTTAATTGACTTATGAATTCACTTATAGAAATTTTGAGAAAACGATGTTTTCTTATGTGACCTTTATTTTATTATAAAATATTATTTGAATGTTCAACATTCAAATATTATTTATGAAGGATATAGAAAATTTAATGAATAATTTTTCAGATAGATATTAACTATCATTTCTTCATAATGAAATGATCTATCAAGTTGGTTAATCAATTGATATTATATTTAATTTACAATTCGAAATGTACTTTTATTAGTCACTAATAAAAAATATGATTTTTTCTAACTGACTAGATTTTTATGTAACCCATAGAAAAGTAAAGAATACCATTTATAATTGTTCTATAAGTTCATAAATCGATCTAAAAATCCCTATATCTCTTACAAGGCAGTAATAATACATAAAGGTAATATGTAATCGATTTAATTTATAAACTTTGATAAGGAAAGAAAACTAACATTCTATTATAAATTGAATTCACTTAATCATGGTTTTATCTTCAATTTACAATTATCATTATAACTAGTCTAATTATTTCAATATAAATAATAAACGTTTGATCTTCGATTGATTTAACCATTTAAATGACTACGTTGTTTTTTCTTTAAACGATCTTCAGCTATTCTTATCATTATGTGATTTTATTCGTTGAAAAATTTCCATCATATTAAAACACAATTATATTGAACGAAGAATATTCTTTTCAATAATTTCTCATCAAGGTTTACAATTCATAAATGCATATTAATAATCCATAAAATTGTGTTTCATTATGTGATTGTTACGATCGCTGAATTTCATTGAAATCATGAACCACCCTTGAAAACCTGGAAGTACTAGACGGCTGATTTGCCCTAGTGTGGGACTCCTCAGAAGTAGATTTTTGGTAATTCATTCATTAATTCTACCCTTTTATGCGTTATAATCATAACGACTAGGGAATATTGATTGAGCTCCTAAATATTTCATTCTTCTATAAATTAGACTTTTATGGTAAAGTTTGCTATGTAAAATACGGCAAAAATATTCTTACTTACTAGTCCAGTACTCATTATTCTATTTGCAGTATTTACTGTATCGCCAAACAAACAATATCTTGGTGATTTAAATCCAACAATTCCAGCAACGATCGGACCAGTATGACAACCAATGTATAATTGTAGTGGTATATTTTGTTCATCTTTAATTCCCGTTGAATTATCCAAGAAAGCTTCACTAGGCCAAAATAGATGTCGTTTTGTAACTTCTAGAATATCTAATGCCATTTCAATTATATGAGCTGAATGAAGGGATGATGGACTTGGAGCACCGGATACTAGCATATAACTATCATTAATTGTTTCAATCTTTTTTATGTAATGGAAAATAAAATCAGTTTCAATTTAAGAAATATGAAATAGTCTACTAGAATTTACCATGGGCATATGAAAATCTTTCCGTAATGTAAATTATAAACATTCGAAATTATTATTTATATTTCCTATTACAAATAACATATTAAATGACCAAAACATTTCGTGAAATTTTAAAAAACCCAACGATTTGTACCAAAATGTCATTTAATAATAGAAGTAATTATAATAATAAATAAATGAAATGGCTATAATTTTCCACTTTAACCATAAGTAGGGTAATTTAGTCAACAACAAGAAATGTCAATGTACTTGATTTTAGTGGTTAGTTTCTGCTCTCACTGAGTGGGAATTGCTTTAAAAAAGAATTATCGATTTATTAACTTAAAGGTAAATATCAGATGTGAACCTATTATTCATACTTTAAAATTTAAGTATAATATCAATGGCCCGTATTAAAGAATGAACTAGTTAGGAATTAATTTTGAAATATCCTCTGTAGAAGAACAGATTTAATCATTCGAAAAAAAATGTTTTCTTTATATCTGATGATTTTGCCGTTAAAAAATATAATGAGCAAATGATCTTTTGAAAAGTTTATTTTTGTCGTTATATTTATGGGAATGATTTTGAGTCAGGATTAATTATTTAGAAACACTCATATGATACTTCGAGGTATGTCAAACAAATTTAATCGTATCAGATAGTAATCGTCTAATAAAAACTGTTATATTCTAACAAAGGTAACTTCTGAGAGCACCGGTGGCGTGAAATATCGTTATCGGATGCAATTTTTCTAGACCGTCTCTGGCCAAATATACGAGTTAAAGACCGGTGTCAACCAAAGTTGCTTACTCTCACCCTTTCTCTTTCTCCTGGTGATCGACTGCATCATGAACACGTCAAAATCTGGAAGAAAGCATGGGATACAGAGGACAGCTAGGATACAGATCGACGATCTAGAATTCGCAGATGATCTGGCTCTTCTATCTCACATGCAACAACAAATAAAGGAGAAGGCGACCAGTGTAGCATCAGCCTCAGCAGTAGTAGGTCTCAATATACACAAAGGGACTAGCAAGATTCTTCGCTACAACACAGCATGCACCAATCCAATCACAATTGACGGAGAAGATTTGGAAGATGTAAAAACCTTTACACATTTCGGCATCAAGATTGATGAACACGATGGATCCGGTGTAGATGTGAAGGCGGGGATCGGCAAAACAAGAGCGGCACCTTTACAGCTGAAGAACATCTAGAACTCAAAACAACTATCAATCAACACCAAGGTCAGAATTTTCAATACAAATGTCAAGACAGTTCTACTGTATGGGGCGGAAACCCAGAGAATTACGAAAGCCATCATCCAGAAGATACAAGTGTTTATTAATAGCAGTCTAGACAAAATACTTCGGATCCGTTGGCCAGACACCCATCAGCAACAACCCAGTGTGAGAGAGAACAAACCAGATGCCAGCGGAGGAAGGAATCAGGAAGAAGTGGTGGAAGTGGATAGGACACACATTGAGGAAAGCACCGAACTGCGTCACAAAACAAGCCCTCACATGGAATCCTCAAGGCCGAAGGAGAAGAGGAAGACCGAAGAACACATTAGGCCGAGAAATAGAGACAGATATAATAAGAATGAACGCAAATTGTATAGAACTTGAAAGGAAGACGGAGGACAGCGTGGGTTGGCGAATGCTGGTCGGCGCTTATGTTCTATTGCAAGTAGCAGACGTAAGTAAGTTGTAAGTAAACTTCTGAGAGCTATTAATCAACTAATATTACACATATATTCTAAATGTATTACTATTGAGTAACAACATTATGTATATTAATATTCCTCTCATTATAAGATTCATTTTTACCTACTGACTAGTATCATACGATTTACTATCCTTAAGACATTCCCAATTTATTAATTACACTTTCTCTCAATCTCAGCCACTTTTTCACTTGATCTTGTACAAATGTTATTTTCTATCTTATGATATGATTTTGTCTGGTTGGCTTGTACATATAAACTGCGAATGTCTGAAATAAATGATTCATATAGTGGAATTTGATATTGGTGCTCTTGACTGAACAGTCAGGGCTAATCATGAAAAGGACCAATAATGACTCAGAGCTGCTCATACTGGTCAATACGTTATTGTTGTGGCACAGTGTTTAGATTGTGTAAGTCGTATTTTGATTGGTGAATAAATACGTGATAAATTAACCGGGTAAAGTCATAACAGAAACCCCATTTATTTGGTTTTTAATTTCCTTTGTTTTGTGACTGTATATATCTTCCTTTCACTTTTTATAAAATAGTTCAAGTATTAAGAAGAAATAGTATAGTGGGGTTCGGGAAAAATTGCCATTTTCCTAAAACTTAACGACCTTAATAATTCATTTCAAATGATAAATTGAATTTTTCATTGTAAAATTGAACTCTTGGTTCTTTATAATAGTTTGTTTTGATTAACAACTGATGTACTAAATTATAAAATTTGTTCTTTTAATAACAAAATAAACTGTGGTAATCTTATTCAGTTTACTAAATACTTGAAACTTTTTATTTATAAAAGCCAAACCATTCGGTTCATTTCTCTTACTATTCATCATTTAGTTGTTACCCTTCATAAATTAGCAAAATTCAGAAATAAGTTAAGATATAACTTTTCTCTGTCGATTAAAGGGCGATACTGGTGGTATTTAACATACCACATACCATATAACATACATAACAATAATTGAATTAAGATCACAATGGATACACACAGAAAATTGGGTCAACATTTACTATTATTATAACATTTAGTCGAACTCAATTAGTTGACACTTATGATTGAATAAACAATAAATCTATCTTTTTAATTATTAACAAAGCAGTAAGCGATTAGAAACGTGTTGAAAATTATTCGTTTTCCATCAACTACTAGAATTATTCAAATCTCAGTCATGAATCAAGTTTATATTCTCTCAATTTCTACATGAAGTTTAAAGTTCACATAATTAATTATATTCTAAGATAGTAGCTAGTAATCGGAGCCAAGATGGACATTTCGTCGTAGGAACTAGTCAATTAGATTTATTCATTTGCCAATGTCAATGTTCACAATAAAACTTGGATCCATTATTTGTCTTTTCAAAGAAATAAAGCGTTTCACACAAGACTTTTTTACCCGATCGAGCTTGCTTATAAAAAATTAAATGAAACTTTAATGAATTACCTTTATATAAACTTTTCATTTTACATTAAATAATGAACAAAGTAATTTAAAAGGATCAATATTCATTCAGTATTAATTTACCTTATAAACATTATGTGATTCAGTCATTGAATCATAAAGTGTATACATTTGATTTAATATATCGACAATTTTATGTGGACACATTCGACTAGAATAATTAGAAAAATTAACCACTTTAGTGAAGCATATTGTCACTGAATTGTATGCCTGAAAATTGAAAGAAAAAAATGATCTACAGTTGATTAAATTTAAAAAGTCAGCAAATTTACCCAGTATAAAAATTTATTATCTGGATTCCTAAAAATAAATTATTAATTACGTAAACTATTGAATATTTAAAAAAACTATTCAAATTTGGGTGATTCAAAGTAGTTAAATAAAAATTTAGTCATACTGTACTTTGTGCTACTGATGTTGACAGATATACGTAGTATTGTATCATCAATCGAAAGTTGAATGTATGGAGGCAGAAAGTTAAAGAAGATCGAAGAAAAAAGAATGAAAAGAGAGAATGATTGGTGTAAAAATGAAGGAATAATCAAGTTTGAGACAATTGATGAACATTTTGCAAATAAAGTAGTTACTGTATAGTTCTCAGATGTTATTAATATGTTCTGAAATTTTGTATTCGCATATATTTAGTTGTCCCCGCTTGTGTTCTCGTTTACTACAAAATTACTTCATGACATTTAAATGTTGTTTGTCCGTAAGACATTCGTTGTTGATATATAAACAACAAATTTCCTGTTTGGTTCATAAAATCATTAAAAGTAAACGTATATAGTTCACTTGGTATTGTTTACATTAATCTTCCCATTGATGTTTAGGGCTGCAATTGATCAGTCTCTTACTGGCATATGTGCATACTGTGCATATTGCCTCGATATTGTCTTAATTCACAAGTATTTAAAGCAAAGATGGATAACAGCTAGCAGTGGAATCGCGATGGCGTTTGAAGCGAACGGTACTGAGTTCGAGCCTCAGAGTGAACATCAACTCTGAGATGCAGGTACATCCAGCTGAAGAGTCCCAAACAGAACGGAACGCGCGTCCGGGATCCCACTGTTAGTCACTATCCATCTTTACATTGAACGTACATAGATTTGTAAATACTAGACAATTTGAAACATTTTTCTATAGAAAAGAATTCCATCATTTTTATCCGAAAGTAACAAAATAAGACTATAGATTATGTATATGACAAACTGGAGCTATCAGGCAGTCATCAACTTGATTTCTTATCATTACTCATAACTGCTAACGATATATTCTAGACTTAAGTCCAATTTTTAAGTCTAAATCAAATTTCTAACTCCACTGCGCGTCACTTTGTTTCGTTTTGTTTTGCTTTCTCTACTTCGTTTCTCTAATTGCCTGTCTGGATCAATTAGTGTATGAAATATACGTATTCAGAATTCATTCTCGTATTTGACTTGTTCCGTTATTCTCCAACACGGACTGAGTCGATGAAAATATACAAAGTTTGGTGGCATGTATATTTCGATAACAATCACCAAATATAGGGCCACTAAAAGACAAAATAAATATAAGTAGTTAAACATTTACTCCTGAATAACTTAGCAGACAGTCGGAAATTGTTTTCTCTATGATGAAAAATTTAAAATAAGAAGTGTGGAACAAAATTTCACCTTCATTGTTTCTGAAGGGTGTTTTCCTTGACTTATTTGTTGGGCAACTTCTTTAGGTAAACATTGTTCCAGCAGTTGATAGGTTTTTCTTCGTTGTTCATCGAGTTTTCTGGCTATTTTTGATAACTCCTTACTTTTTCTTTTTTGCTATGAATACAAAACAGAATTGTAGTTAACCTAAGTAATAATCTAATAAACCCACTCTAGCTATCAGCTACAAGTAGCTCAATGTCAAAAACCTGATGAGTCTGAATTGAAGTTACAAAACGCTAGATGACACTCCGTTTAAAAGAATTTTCCTGTCTTCATACTAAACGACGACTTCATAGTCAAGCTACTGATCGGCTTATTGAAAAAGATATATAAATCTAGAAACCATCTGTCTATCTAAAACAAACCTGTTGTCAGAACGATTGTCAAAAGAGATCACCTGAAGATGTACAACAATTAATGAAGTAAAACTTTGCATTCAGTTTTATGCATAATATCGGACATCAGTATAATTTATAATTTAGATGAAACGCGGTTAAAACTGGTTTCCTATAGATAAACCGTCTTAAACTCTCACACATACGGAATTAATTTCAACCTTACTTTCTTTAGGTATTCAAGCAACAACACTTCCGTTATTGTCTAAACTAACTATATTTCCTAGCATCAGTGCTGTGGTCATAACTTTCTTGTTAAGTGGCCGAGAAATTTGTTTAAACAATAATAACTGTTTAGCTGTTCATTAAACGTTCACCTTTCGTACATTAGAAACGCATAACAATCCTGCCCTTCACCGTTTCTCTCAAAAGTGTACGGATCAACAGCTGGCCGCCCCGTCTATTCTTTTGTAAATTGTTTTTATGATAACATCCTAGATATGTAAATGTAATCTTAAATTTGATTAATTATAATTTATTATTTCGTATTTTAAAAATACATTAAGTTAGTGGTTTTTTTATTAGCTAAAGCGAAAAGTTAAGAATTTTACTTCCTCATGTGGGGTAGGTTACATTGGCCGCACAAAGTGATCACTTGCTAAACACATCTCAAAACACTGCCTGGCATGGCTCTTAAAAGGAGAATGTAAAACAATTACCAGTTCAATACAGGAGCATCTAATCAACTCTAGACACATCTCTCCGAAGGAGTCTTCTTTTTAAATAATCTACACAGTCGAAAGAACTGGAACTAAGGGAGGTCGAATCAAAAACTTATGCACTGTTGAGGCATTGGCGATCCACCAATTCAAGCCCGAACTCTGTGTGCGAAAACGATACGTCTAACCTCATCCTTCCTTGGTCCTAATTCCTTTCTGTAGTATAATTAAAGTCTCGAATCACCTAATGATGCAATCCTTTCTATCCTTCTATAGACATACAGTTTCTAGGATTCTTTATTTATTATTATCAATATGGGGATTTGTGGAGATTGTAGTATCTTCGCAGTTGAATTCGCGATTCGTTCTAAGTTAGACCATCATTGAAAATATGGGGGCACTGAACGACCGTCTCGTCTCAGTATGGGACTTCTCAGCAGTGCGTATTCACGATCCCACACGTGGAACTTGAACTTAAGACCTTCGGTCTCGTGCGTGAATGCTTAACCTGTAGACCACTGAGCCGTCTAACTTCAGTAGACCCTTCATTCATTATCTGAAGTGGATAACTTTCTCTACGTTACATGGATCGGATTCCGCTGGTCACTGCTTCTCACTAGAACTCCAGAAAATCCATCTGGCGGCTAGTCACTAGTGAGAATCTGTAACCAATGGAGTCTAATCAGTGTCGAATGTGAGAGTTATCCACCTGTGTTTATTAGTTGAAAGCATTTGTTTAATGTTTGAAATTAAAGCCTATGTAACTGCAGAACAACCCATTGTTTTTGTATTCTTCAGTTTGTTTCTTCTGTAATTTCATTTTACGAAAGTCCGATGGAATAACTTCTAGCCATCTACAAAGCATAATTCTTTAAATTGTACATAAGTACTTTGATTATTATTTTAGTGCAAAGTACTGAATAAATGTTGTTTATGATTTAGAAACAATCAAATTATTTTTATTAACTCCGCCTGTAGGTTTTCTAGAGTTACTACCGGTCCCAAAACCGGGTAAAGGAGGAGGGTTGGGCATAGGGCCAGCAACCTCATTTCGTAGAAAGAAGTTTTTCTAAAAAAACGTCAACCAGTCAATTATCTTTATTATAAAACATTATTCTAAAATAATAATAATAATAATAATAATAATAATAAAACTCACTTTTTCTAATAAAACTAAAAGATTTTTAGATACTGTATCACCTAAGATCATTTTCTCAACTTTAATATCATATAAGTTAATGTCTTGTAAATTTAGTCCAAAATCGATAAAAGATTTAATTTCTGAGAAACTAAAAACAAATAAAATAATTTAAAGGTACAATAATTTTAATTAACAGTATGAGGTTATGAAAACTATTAAATTTTTGATTGAGATCATGAATAGATTGATGTTAGACTACCATTGAAAACCTGGAAGTATTGGACGGCTGTTTCGTCCTGTTGTTGGACTCCTCAGCAGTGCGCATCCACGATCCTGCTTGCGAGATTCAAACTTATCAAGTTAATCACTAATTTGAATATTTAAAGAATAATCAAAATAAATACAATTTTAATAGGATTTTTAATGAATAACTACATTAGTTAGATAAAAATTTTTGAAAAGTAGTATTTCTTAAGGATTTTCAAGCCTTTCAAACCATACTGTTAGAACACATTTAAGAAAAAAACATACAAACAAAAGAATGAAATGAGCTTTTCAAATTTCTGTTCAAACTATGAATAATTTTTTTTAACACCATCAAATCATCCAGCTTCCCTTCAAAAAAGAAGTAATATCTTTTAAGTTTTTTTTACATTTTACTAAAATAGCATCTTCGTTAAATTGAGTTATGTTGCCTAGTTACCATAATTACAACTTTAACTGTTCACATTATGTTTTAATATTAAATAAAAAATATATATTGATTAGTAGTCATTATTATGTATCCAAGGCTAGTGATTCTACATTCTATTTATGATTGGTAATGAGTATACGCTTAAAGAAAATCTTAAATAATGAGATAACTAATTCGGTTCATAATATCTGAGTCTACATTAAAACTCAGTGAATAATAGTTAAAGCGTATCAACAGGTGTTATAAATAATATTACAATATAAACTATATTGAAATTGAACTATTCACTTACTTTGGTTTACCTATAAAAAGCAACATTGACCATTCTTTTACATAAATCATTTGACCCCTAAGATATAGCATTGATATATGACTCCCATCTATAACAAAAGAAGAAAAAATCCATCTTGATATTATTTGATTTTGAAACAGTTTAATGGTTTCAGTCACTGGTACTAAAGAATCAAAGTTGATAGGTATCATTACCAAGGTTTGATTTGATAATTTCGAATAAATAGAGCATGGGGTTGATTGTCATAAATAAATAATATATTTGTAATATCCCAATGAGTAGAAAATTAGATTTTCTGACGTTTCGTGACTTAGTGTAAGTCACTTCTTCAGAGGAGAAATAACCAAATTAAAATTAATCCAAGTTTAAATAGTACAACGGACTTAGATTAATTTTAATTTGGTTATTTCTCCTCTGAAGAAGTGCCTTACACTAAGTCACGAAACGTCAGAAAATCTAATTTTCTACTCATTGGGATATTACAAATATATTATTTATTTATAACAATCAAAGTTAATATTTGTGTAAGTTGAAGTTAAATGCTTTTTTTTCTAGAAATTACTTAGCTATGATTCTTTAAATACTATCTGTTTGAAGTACATATTCCCTCATTACTGAATGTACTGCATAGAAAATGATCGAAAGTAAGGTATATTTTCACATGATTATTCATTAATTAGATTCAAGAATATCATAGAACTTATTTTCTTCATTATGAAAATTGTACTCATTTATAATTATTATACTAATAATAACAATGATGAAAGTTTAATTCAGCACAAGCAATTTTTTATAGTCAAAAATGAAAATTTATCAATCACTATGGTGTTTGTGTTTGAGATTTCAAGTATTTAAAATTAAAACAGCTCATGAGCGCACACCATTACAATTCATCAACACTTAGTTTAAAAAAAATATAAAATAGAAAGGTGAATCTCAACAATTGAACAGTTAAAAAGTGCACTACTGAATAACTAGATTATGTATATTATTATTCCTCTCATTATAAGATTCATTTTTACCTACTGACTAGTATCATACGATTTACTATCCTTAAGACATTCCCAATTTATTAATTACACTTTCTCTCAATCTCAGCCACTTTTTCACTTGATCTTGTACAAATGTTATTTTCTATCTTATGATATGATTTTGTCTGGTTGGCTTGTACATATAAACTGCGAATGTCTGAAATAAATGATTCATATAGTGGAATTTGATATTGGTGCTCTTGACTGAACAGTCAGGGCTAATCATGAAAAGGACCAATAATGACTCAGAGCTGCTCATACTGGTCAATACGTTATTGTTGTGGCACAGTGTTTAGATTGTGTAAGTCGTATTTTGATTGGTGAATAAATACGTGATAAATTAACCGGATAAAAGTCACAACAAGATCTTTGAAGACAATTCTTAGAATCAACCAATTCGTACCAGAATATGTCAGATGAGTTTTTTCTTATTTTAGTTACTGATGTTTATTTATCTCCCATTCATAATCACCTTCTTATTACCAAATCTCTAAAGTTTATTCTTTGTAATGAATACTAGGTAAGAATTCAGTAGTCAGTATTTTCTTTATCTTTTAGCATTTCAAAAACTTTGCTATTTAATACGACGATGTAATATCATTTCATATAATAGATATTATAGTTATCTCTCATGCAATAAAATGTATCACATAATCTATTAATGTGGGAGATCCCTGTGTTTCCTAATGAAAATTAGTGTGCTTTAGTCAGAACAAGGTACTTAAACCGATTTTACAAATTAGAAATCTTATAAAAGGCTGTTTATTTAAAAGAAATTACACAAAAAATTAGCACATGATTGCTAATGATGATGCCTGGTGAATTTCAGTCAAAACCTAATATATAGCAAGTTATCAATATATAAATAATAACTTCCGTCTAAATTTGAACGAATAGTTTCACAATATTTGGGCGCCGAGTTAATGTGAGACATTAAAGAGGAAAAATGTATTTGTAAAATCTCAGCGAATGAATTTTAAGTAAATCCAACGTTTCGCCTGGCAATCTGGTCCAAGCTTTTTCAAGAAAATATAATCAAACAACAAAATTATCGAATATAAATAGGTACAAGGTTCTCCGGTTTACTGTATACTGAATAAAACATCCAATATATATAATATCACCCACTCGATTTTCTTCTATTAATCTTTAGCCCAATTTTAAACGTGGAAGAGGAAAACATCATGATCTGTTTAAAACAAAAATAAAGGAAATGTTGAGAAAACAAATCAGAAAAAAAATAACATTTTAGCGGGATATATTTATGAGAGCATTTCATGAGATAAAACTTTCGGACGAAATTAGACTGTTTTAAATGTTTTTGTTTCTCAAATGAATAATTTAGTGTATTATTTTACTGAACGATTTCTTCAAGAATTTAAGCATACATCGTTACAATGTTGTTTGTATCTAAAATAAACAATATATAAATAATATACTAACACTTATTTACAACAATTAATCAGTTCTAAGCAACGATGAATGGTTGCTAGCAGTGGAATATAGGACAGCTCCATCGCAGAGTTAATGTTTAGAGTGATTGAAGCGAACGGTACTGGACTCGAGTCCAAGAATGAACATCAACTATGAGGTGCAGGTACATCCAACGGGTGAGTCCAAATAGGACGAAACGTGAGTCCTGGATTCCACTGCTAGCCATTATCCATCCTTTCTTGAAATGCTTGTGAATTAAGGCGATGTCGATGCAATACGCATAGTATGCACATATGCCAATAAGAGACTGATCAATTACAACCCTAAATATCAATGGGAAGATTCAAGTAAACATTACCAGGTGAATTAATCTATTCCTTTTTTGAAAATTTTATTTACCTCATCGGTTTACATCTATTTTTGTGACAAATGAATTTTTAATTTAAAGACTAATTCAACAATTGCAAAGTAAGTTTTAAACCAGAGCATGTAAATGGTCTTTCAGATGATAAGATAACTAAATGTTTAAAGAATGCATTTATTCATTTAACAAGTAAAATATGTTTATAATAATGATGTGAAAGTAGAGTAATGGCTAAGACGTATTTCACATTACTGAGATTCACTATTTAAACATTTGGTTGGGCAGGACAGTTCACGATTAAAATTCTCCTGACAGATATTTTATTCAAAATTGTATTCTTATGTTTGTTATTACAAAGCTTTTATTTGTCTCATCTTACTAGCACTATCAAAATAGCTAAAGATATATATTTTTACAAATTCAGGTCTTCAAATTTTAGGTATTCATCTTTTGAAAAAATTCCGAGATTCTTTAAATGTCAATTATACAAACTGCTTGTACAACATATCTTACTGTAAGCCCAGACGAATCTTAATGCGGTACATTTTTCATGTGTACATTTACTAACTTTTGATGGATTAATTTAGAGACATGTTCTTCTGAAATAAAATGTGAAAGAGATTGACTAAAAAATATAGTTAAATACGATCTTTTAAAGCTGTATAAATTTATATGTTACTTAAGGATGTCAGTATTAGAATGTTTGTCAATAACACCAATGTCGTCAGTACAACTTAACAAATTAAGTGTTAAGATTATTTTTGTTATAAATGTGTCATCATATATCTTACCCGTTCAAATAATGGTTTCATAATTGGTAACATGATGACGAAATGTTCTTGAAACTTAGTATTGACTAAAGTTGGCTGAAATTCTAATAATCGTTGTCCAGCACTATGTATCATTAAATTTTTATCGATTAACAAATGGAATGGTAATAATCCAAAAAAATTTTTATTTGAAATTTTCGGTAACATATTCATAGTACCTAATCCAGTCTTTACCATACAAATCTCATATTCTTTAAAACTTTCACCAATAAATAGTTCTAATTTAAATACAGTTCGATATATTGAACTTTCATGTGATTCCGAATTGATTTTAATAATTAAATGTAATTGATAAATGTATTTAGCTACTTCAAATAATAGTCCTCTTGTATAATGATTATAACCAGGTCGTTTTGTTGTATATTCTAACATTATACAACTTGGTGTACTAGATAATATAACAAATGTCGGTGGTTTAATACGATGATAACTATAACGTAAATATTTGTGATGATCATTTAAATTTAATAATAAATCTTTGAATGTTTTGCCAAATGCACGAAGTAGTTTTTCAAAACCATTTTTAATTAAATATTGTATGGTATAACGTCCAATATCAAAAAGAATTGTATCTTTATCGGTGAATATTTTATCACTTAATATTGTAGCAATTCTTGCCATCAAGTTATCATTGTATATTTTTTTAGTTTCAATATCGAATTCTTTACCAGTAGATTTTTTACATAACCATATCCATGTATTTTCACCATAATTGTCTATAATGTAATGTTTAGCAGCTTCTAATAATATACCATACATAATCTCTAACAAATAACTGATACTGAATAAAAGAAATTAGAATGGAGATATTATTTATTTACAGCTAGTTCGTGGTATTTATTTATGAGTGTAAAGTGTTACCATTGGTTCATATAATATTTACAAGCTTTTACTACTTAAATAGATAATTTATGAGATATATCAAGCTTAACAAATTCTTAGTCATTTAGCGTAGATTATAATAAATGACAGAATGTAAATGAAATTAGCCAGTAGACAGGTGAATAGATAGTCTTATGTAGATTTTAATTATGATTCAAATATATCTTTTTTTTCTAGTCCTTAACTTGTATAGTATTCAATTGCAATACTTTACTGAAATACTGTTTTGTATAACTGAGTAATAGAAGAGTTTTCCTGAAACTGACTATGGTTATCATAATTGATACTGACAGTGTATTTGTTTATACTGTCAGCAAACTGAGATAATATGATAATATTCATTATGAGACTGAAAAATGAATCACATTGTAAAATCATTAGATCTCAAGTGATAGATTTAATAAATTTATTAAATTATTAAAATATTGGTAAAGTTTGGAAGTTATTAATTCAATACCTAGAAGGATGTTTATAGAATTTAATTAAAAATAACTAGCGAATGAAAATAGCTGTATTACAATGATTTCAAATAGTTATTTAACTTGTTCCGGCCCCCATGAAATTGCATATCTTTTATATTATGTTAAATTTTAGGTTGAAACTTACGTTGAAATAAAAGTACACCAAAATGGAATAAATCTGCTCCTGACGTTACCATTATATTATGTAAACACCTTTATTTAACAATGTTTTGACTAATTGGATAAAATAATCACATAGAATGAATAAAAGAGAACCGCAAATCTCATTTTAAAGAAATACTCTAACTGAACCTGATAACAGTTCTTTAACTGGATGAGTGGGAACGTTACAGAGTCTTCATAGTTTCCATGGGTAATATTCCTACATCAGTATTATTAACTTTATTCAGTTATTAATTATAATATAGTCAAGTAGTATAGACAAGTAATTTTATTCCCGACTGCCCATATTATTCATATATAGAATATACAAAATCTTGATGAGATATTTCTTTAAATTATCTTACTAACCATTTTACAGCATATCGTTTTAAACAAATCAAAGGCGACTCTGGTGTAAAAATATAGTAATTCAATTAAGTCACCAGGTTAATTGTTGACCAACGATTCGGATATCTCAATAATTTTCTCGCTTTTTCTTAACTAACCACGTTATTTATATAAATGTTTACAACTTATCATTTTACTAACATTAAAAGACTTAAGTGAAAATATGGCAGTTATCAGTTATTTTCCTCATGTACATAAAGTCCTATAAAGGCACTCAACGATAAATCGTGTAGCATTGGGATTATGGTATGTTTTACGTTATGAGGTTAGGACTAGTCTAAAATCATTACAGTTTACCAAGCATTCAAAATGCAGTATTGTATAAAGCGATTTCTAACAACACAGATTGTACCTCCCAAAAACGTCTATGTATAATAATTCACTAAATTTATTTATTAATTGAAGGAAACACTTAAGAGACAATAGAAAATTGCGTTTTGACTAAAAGTAACAAGCGATAAAATTCACTAATATTTCGTCGATTTTATGTCATCAAAGATATAATATCTTCTCATTTAGAGTTAATCTAATAATCTGTTTGAACCACCTAAAATATTTCTATCAACCCTCTAAATCAAAACTTTGCTTGTATCTGAAAAAAAGCACTCTCTATGGTATTTAGAAATGATTGACGACTAGGTAGTGACCAAAGTCAAGTACGTCATTGCTTACTTAGTGAATATCGAATGTTATCGATCAGTTGTAAATGCATCTCAGTCCTACAGGAAGTCAGTCGCGGCCCGAATAGCTCAGTTGTAACGTCTATGACTGTGGAGCTGTGTGATATGGATTGAGTCCACCAACGAGCATCAGTTCACTCAAGGTTACCGGCACATTTCGCTGATGGGTACTAAATAACACGAAAGCTGCTTCCAATGTTTCCTGTTGACTACCTCCAACCATCACTTTAAATTAGGACATCAACAAAGTACATTAGAATGCTTCAGAACTTCTGGTTCGTCAGTTGGATAATAACGAAATTTCAAACAGTAAAGACCAATTAAGTTGATCATACAATAAAATCACCTTTTCAGAAAGTACCGACTAATTTTCAATCTACTTCGTAGATTCTTCAACAGATTTTATGGTTGATTCTGTTAGTATTTGCAATCCGGTCCCAATGCCGGGAAAAGGAAGAAGGTTGGGCATTCGGTTACCAATCCCAATAGAACCTTCCTTACAAATACTGAAAAACTCAATGAATTCAACATAGTTTTCAACAACAGGTTCTAAGCCCTACAAGATCTACTCGAAGAAGAGAAAACTAGTATGGAAAACTGTTATATCGTGTGATCCGCCTATTGGAGAGCAGCGCATTATCGATCGAAACACTGACGCATAAAATACGAGCGAGCAGCCTAGAGTTCTGATTGGCCCTGCTTCCCTGTCTAGCCCAGCCAGTTGAGTCCAGAACACAAGTCTCAGCCTCTGTGATATGAATCGTTATATTTCAAACATACACTGTTTATATACCAAACAAACAGACTACATCGTACCATAAAATAGAAAGTAACATTTGTACAAGATTTAACCTTCAGGAAATGACACAAATAAATATTGACCAATAAGGAGATGACACGTTGGAAGAATGTTGACCAATGGGGAAATGACACTACTTCTCATTCAGGAATAGCATTCGATAATTTCTGGGGTATTTTCTGAATACCCCAACAAAAACAAATGAAAATGGATTAAGGGTAAAGTAAATTTAACGTATCAGAAGGTTCTGGGCCTATGTGTCACAGATCGATCA